GGTGCAGTGTGGCTCTGATACGGTCACTGTTTTTGTTTATGTTTTTATACAGTCTATGGTTTATTCCAGCCGCTCCACGCACGTTTCTGAAGCGGCTCTTTGCTGCTTCTGTAAAGATACACGCATATGTCTCCTTTGAATAAATATAGCCAAAATCCCGCCAAAATCCGTTGCCATGACTTATCGCGAGAGGCAAAAGGTTACGTTTTAGTCGCATAACATTGGTTAATGGAAACGCCGTCATTTCGCAATACTTTTTTATCGACATTTATAAAATGTCGCCAAAGTTTTGCGCAAATCTGTAATGGAAACGCGCCTACTGTAAAGGAGCAATGATATAAAAGTAGGTGTTGATCAGTATCTGTGCAGGAAGTCTTGTGCTGATGTATTATTACATTATTAAAAATGTGGAAGTAGAAAATGAGTCATTTTGCATGCTTGGTTTCAATTAAAGCTGTTTTTGGAGCAATGAAGAAGTTTTGAGATCTAAAACTTACAGAATTTCAAATTTTCTCATGTCAAACAACACCACAATGCAGGTAATAGTAAACAATCAGTTTTAAGAAAATTAAATGTTAACCTAACATTTAATTTTCTTAAAACTGATCGTTTACTATTACCTGCATTGTGGTGTTGTTTGACATGAGAAAATTTGAAATTCTGTAAGTTTTAGATCTCAAAACTTCTTCATTGCTCCAAAAACAGCTTTAATTGAAACCAAGCATGCAAAATGACTCATTTTCTACTTCCACATTTTTAATAATGTAATAATACATCAGCACAAGACTTCCTGCACAGATACTGATCAACACCTACTTTTATATCATTGCTTTGTGGTATTGTGCTTCTTTAATGTAGCTTCTTGAGTACAGATGTATTGTGTCCTGTTGTAGTTTTCCTGGTAAGGTGATTTGAAATTCAGAAACTGCCTTGAAGAAAATCATGAATCCCCTGATGCCTAATTGCTAAATGTGGAATTCACCTTACAATTCACTTTGTTCTTGATGCATCAATGCATCTCAGTATTTTATCAAAGGCATGGTGCCAAATCTTTTGCAATAAAACATTCAACAAGCCTTGCAAATGCCCTTTCCTATGTGGAATTGTTTCAAATGTTATCAAAATAGTTTTTTGTTTGATCAAATTTGCTCTTGTTTTTATTTCTGACATTTCCTTTGTATGTTTGTTCAATAACCTAAATTATAAAAATTACTAGGCATTTGTAGATGCAATGTTGAAACTACAATCAGAAAGCTATGTCTATCAAAAGTCATTGCTCTTAACAATAGGACAAAGAACCTAATAAGCAATTGGTTGAAATTGTAGAACTGTTTTGAAGTGGAAAGCAGTGAGTTCAGATCCATTTCCCATGGATAGTTAGAGATATTCTTAAAAAAATCTTTGGGAATTAGAACAGTTTGCAAAAAAATAAAATTGGCCAGTGTTCCTGTAGGTAATGTTATTGTAAGAAATTAAGTCTGAGGCTAATACTTTACATACTACCTGAACACCTGTAAATGCCCATTTCACAGTTGAAGTCATTATCTCCACCACAAAATATTCTTGAGACAGTTATTCATGCAACTTTGTGTGGAATAAAAGCCCTACCAGCTACTTTACTTTGCGAAGCATGCATTATTTAGTGGAGTATTATAGTTGAAGAGCACTTTTAAAGAACTGTTGAAAAACTGACAGTTCAAACTGCATAACCAGAATGCTGTGATTAGTTGAGTCATGGTACTGTTTTGACCCAAAGCAAACAATAAAAAAACATTGTTTTGCCAAACTGCATCAGTCAAGACTGGCTGGGATAATTTAGAGTGAGTAGTTTAAATCTGGGTCTACATCTAGGAAGATACAATCATAACTATCAGCAGACTTTTCAGACAAGCAAGTTATGGATAACCCAGTTGGACTACTAGCTCAATCATTGTTGTGTGCTTGGAATAGGACCACCTGTTTTTTGATCAAACAGTAATATTTTTGCTAATCCATTTGGTGCTAGTGTTGCAGAATTTACACTGCTTTTCATATTAGATAAAATAAACTGTAACTTTTTTTTTAATCATCACCTTAATATCCTTTTCATATTCACAGACACCTGAAGTCCTTATGCATACCAGCTGTGAAGGTGCACCATGAATTGTGAAGAGCAGGGCATGGGGAGGGTAGTCCATTCCTGGGCCAGATTTGCCCCAGCTGGACAAACTGCCCTCGAAGAGGCCCTGAGGGTCTTTAACCCCATGTCCAAGAATCTGTCGGACACTGAGAGACAAATGGTGTCCTTTCTTCAAGAGCTGAGGAAAGAGGGAGCCAAGCCTGTGATTTTGAGGAGCAAAGATGTATATGGATACACGTCTTGCACCACGGAGCCAATCTCTTCCAAAATTGGCAGCAAGGTTCAGAGAGTGCAGAAACCTTGCAAGAAGCGAGGACGGAAAGTTTTGAGCAAGTCCAAGGATGTGAATTACGTGACGCTCAGTAGAGCGGCAAAGGACATTCTCCAAAACCAACCCAAGATCCTGCTTACCAATCTCTCGGTGGACAGTCTTAAGCAGAACGTTGGATCGGCAATGCTAGATAAACATTCTGTTCAAGCGCAGCAGTGCCTCAAGCTAACAAACATAAAGGGGTTGACCGGAGGCCACACAGCGAGGTTGCAAATTCACTTTGAAAATTCTAAAAGCGCCCCCAGTTTTGCTCTGGGACGACCACCGGATCTCTCCGGAATTCCGCACTCTCCAACGGAAAATGGCAGTCAGACATCAAATGTAGTTGCCTTGGACAACAAACGTGTTTTGTTATGTCCGTTCAAAGTAGACGATGCCCTTATTGGAGACTCTGCCCCAGTAGTCTATCAAAATGGTTTTGGTCTTAAAGATGCTAGCATTTATAAAAAGATCGAAACTGTATCAGGTAAACCTGATGTGATGACCAGTGGTCTGGACAATGGTTCAGTGAGGAGACTCCGTTTCCAAAGCTATAACTGGTCCCAGGCTACACTCACCAATGGCCAAGACGTTTCTAGACTGAATGGCAATGGTCTTGAATGGAAGGTTATAAAAGTAGATGATTCGGTCACAGACGAGGAAGTGAGAAGGAAGGCACAAAAAATCTTGCAGGTTAACTTGTCGCCTGTGATACAGATCCATCCCCTTGTTGACTCTGTATAGACTCTTGCTGGGGATTTTTTGTTTGTTTGTTTGTTTCCTCTTTTAAGTTTTCTTGTTTTGCAAAGTTGCGTTTTGTGGAAACAAACCCTAGGTTATCTCTGGATGGGAGCATTGCAGTTACCTCCAAATTTTGCATTATCATCAAGTAGTTACTAACATCATAATCCAAAGATGGGATGCTTTTTTCTGCTCTCACAGTATTTTGTTTTCCCGACACATCCCAACTTACCTTTCTTTTGTGTATTTTTATCTAACTTCTGAAGAATTGGACTGATGAACAAACCCTTATTTATGACTATGCAGTTCCCAGAATGTTCCTTGTGTTGGAATACTGTGGGCATGGAATGCTGTCTCACTGGATCATGGGAACAGACTGAATTTGTAGAGTCCTTGGCTCCTGCTGATGTCAATGCCCCCCGGGGTTTTTTTTTTTTTTTTTACAT